TTCTGGGTTTTCAAGATTGATAGGATCCAGGTGGGGACAATGGACTGGAATGTTGTTGGAAGTGAACGAGACAAGCTCGTCATTTGTGAGGGTAGTTTCGCGCGCAGTCACACTGAAAACTAACGAAGGGGAGGCAGATGCCTTGTCATGATTCCTTTCGTCAAAACCGCTGAATGTTGCTGCTATGCGATGCTTCGTTAAGAAGAAGGATACTTCACTGTTCGCTTTCGATCTCTCACATTACGTAAAAAACTCGCCAAGCACAAAATCCCAAGATTGACCACACCAGAAGCGCGATCGCCCTTGGCGAAAACAGATTGGATGGACTTGGACCCTGGCGGCGGGAATGAAGCTGAATGGATGAAGGCCAGCTTGTGACCCGCGAGCGACCTGGCATGCCATCCATCCGTGCATTTCGCAAGCAAATTTGCTGACGAATCTGGCGGAAGAGTGCATTTCGACGTCTGACATCTGCAAAAATCATGAAGAGTCAGTCGCATAACTCAAGAATTTCCTCTGCAAGATGCACTGAGGAACCGTCCGAGCTCCTCATTTCCATTTAAAAACTACCTTTCACCGAAGCTATCTACCAGTTGGCCTGGGAATCCCGTGCGTGTAACGCAGGCTTGGCTGGAACCGCGTCTCAAGCCCCTCAGCTCAGCCAGCCCAGCTATAAATACCAGGCGGTTTTCCCTCATTTTCATTCAACACATTCTTCGTTCAGAATCAGCTTCTTTCCGGATGGCTTGGCCCCAGCAGCACTCCTCTCCTCAGGGGCTCTTCCCTCACCCAATTCCTGCCAATCCAGGCCCTCTTCTTCCATACTTAGCTGCTGGAGCAATTTCCAGCAATGTTCAAGCCCCCTTGCTTGACCAAAACCAATTACCGCGCTTCGGACCCAGATTAGGGTTTGCGCATCGACCAAGAGCACTCACGCGCGAATATTTGAAACTTGGATGGCAGCTAGGATGAACGGACCGCTCAACTGACTTACTGATTTGACATCCAAACCCTAATTCTTGGAATATAGCCCCTGCCGCTATGCCGATCGGAGCACCAGTCGCCATTGAGCCCCGCGGCTCGGTCGGCGGATCGCGCGGAGATTCCCATGCGCACGTTCATGTCCACGTGCCACGCGCTGATTCGCGGCTGCTGAGCCACGTGGCCTTCGAGGCGACAGATGAGCTGGACCTGGCCCTTCAATCTCTCCACGCGCGTCTCAAGCCGCTTCTCGCGTCGGACAGCGAAGGCGACGTGCACAGCCAGTTGCAGGAAATGGTATCGGAAGGCGCGCAACAACATGCCGACGTGGTCAACGGTCTCCTCTACGCCATCCTCATCGCGTCGCACAAAGCCGGTCCGCCGCCCTCGCCGACGTCGCACGCGGCTCCGGCAGCGGCGGTGCGACTGTTCGGAATCCTGTGCTCCGTGACGCGCGATCATCACGCGTCGCTTCTAGCGACGCTTCAGCGATTAGCGAGCGACAAGTGGAGCAAGCTCCAGGACCACGTGCGCGCGCAGGTCATTTGGATCCTCCGGCAGTTGGTTCAGCTAGCCGTTCAGGAAGCAGAAACGCTCTTTCTCTGCCTCTTCCGTCAGGTCTCCGGCGGCGATCTCAGCGTGGGAAATGTGTGGTTAGCTCGGCAATTACTCGACGTCCTCCGTACCAACGCGCAGTGGCTTTACACTCTCCCGAATCTTCTCGCCCTCTCGTTATACACGTTCCTTAGGCTTCTACCAGACCATGCGGTTAGTAAGGCGCCAACCGTAGTAGAGCTGAAGCAGCAGGAGGTCGCGTTTTGCACGCAGCTGATTAGGGAGCGGTTTCAGGACTGCCTGGTAATGGTCGCGACTTAGTGCGTCTGCTGCAGGATGTAGCGTTGATTCCGGAATTCGAGCCGATTTGGAGGGACTTGGTGCATAGACCGGAGACTATGGGCGCGCCGGGGTTTTTCCGATTTAGCTCAGCTGTACGTCGTGCGGACGCCGACGCGTTTCATCACGTCGCGAGTTACGCCCGAAATGGAGTCGCAGCTTCGCTTTCTCCTCGCACACGTGCGCATGGGCCACCAGCGGCGCTACCAGACGTGGTTTGCCACCCGGTTTCTCGCCGCCCCGGAGAGCGAGTCCCTCGTGGCGGATTTGATTCGTTTCGTCTGCTGCTCGGTGCATCCGACCAATCAGGTGCTGCAATCCGACGTGGTGCCACGCTGGGCGATTGTCGGTTGGCTGCTCAAATGCTGCAGAAGCTGCCACATGGAGGCAAATGCCAAGCTGGCGCTCTTCTACGATTGGCTCTTCTTCATGCCCAAGACAGACAACATCATGAACATCGAACCCGCGATGCTGTGCATGGTCCATTCCCTTCCCAAATACGCCATTATGACCAACTCCCTCCTGGAATTCCTCTTCCTTCTCCTAGATAACTACGACGCGGCGCATAGAGACGTGATTCTCCGCGGAATTTCCGCCTCGATCGACATTTTGGTCGGCAAGGGAGTGTGCCTAGTCTCGAGCCGCTAGCCACAAGCGGCTTCATTCCGACAAAGCTTCGTGAGCGGCTTCAGGCGCTTTTTCCTGCGCATTGTCGGCTCGACGCGTCTCCCCATCGGTACTTACCCCCCTCACCCCTGCATGACCCGCACCATGCGGAAAGAGCTGCGGCGGCGGGAATACCTGGGGGAGGGGGAGGGGCAGTGGGAGAGGGGGCCAAGCGCGGGGGAGCGGGGCTTTGGTGAAGTCCCCAAGCCCTTCCCCCCCGCATTTGGCAGCGGAGAGGGACGGCATGGGGAATATTGTTGGCAGCGGAGCGGGGATAAGGGCGGCGGAGGAACAGCGAGGCAAGGAAGGGCAGGTGGCGGAGTTGGGGGAAGTGGGGGAAGTGGGCGCAGGCGTTAGCGGAAGCCATCCTGTGGGTGGTTCTGCTGCTGCAGCCGTTGCCGGGAAGGGCGCGGTTGACGCAAGTGGGTCCATCACTGGCGCGAGGGCGGCGGAAGATGCGGAAATGGGGGAGGCTAGCGCTGCAGGGGAAGACCAGGCTGGTGGAAAAGGCCCTGGCGGAGCGGGGAAACGTAGCAAGTCTCCGGAGGGCGCAGAGATGGAACTAGGGGAGCGCGCCGGAGGGGAGAGCGAGGCGGCGGAGGGAGGGAGTGGTAAAAGGGAGCGGAAGAGGAAGAGGGAGGAGAAGGAGGAAGGGGAGGAGGAAGCGGAGGAGGGAGGGGATGTGGAGGCTGGGGAGGTGGAGGGAGGGGAGGTGGTGGAGGAGGAAGGGAAAAGAGAGCATAGCGAGGAGAGAGAGGGCATGGACGAGGAGATGAGGGCTATAGAGAGAATGGTAAAGGGTATGGAAGAAGCTGCGGAGGCAAGGGGACGGGGCGAAGGTCATTGGCGGATTCAAGGCGTTCCTGGTGGCTTTAAGAGGCGAGTATCCAGTCAGTGAAGCTGGCGGGCGGAAGCCGCAGGGGCAAGCTGAGGGGAAGGCGCAAGGGAATGAGTACGGGGAACTGGAGGGCGGGCAGGAGATGGAAAAAGAGGGCAAAGGGGGAACGGGGGGAACTGCAGGGAGGGCGAGGGAGCGGCGACCTGTGGTGAATGAGGAACAACGGGATGAGGAAGACGCGCGGTTGGATGAGGAACGATCTGACAGGAGCGTCGACTCGGATGTGACTACAGAAAGAGGCACTACAGAGGGGGAGACGGCGAGCGATGCTTGCGAGGATGGCAGGAAAGGGGAGGAAGCAACGGCGACAGCAGCAGAAGCAGCAGCCGACGGGGCAGGTGAGGCAGCCAGGAACGACAGCAGCAGCAGCAACCGACGGGGAGTTAAGGGAGTTAGGTCGAAGAGAGCTCGCGTAGCAGCTTCGGTAGATAAAGCAGCAGCAGGCGTATCGACAGACTTAGCAGCAGGATCAGGTGCAGGAATCCCTTCCTGAAGCATCACCAGAGGGATTGAATAGCAGAGGAAGACGCAGCTACAAAGGTTAGCTAGGCTATCAGCCATGTTTTTAGCTAGAGACCCAAAGGCTTTTGAAGCTGAACGCGCAGTCAAATCAGACACTTTTAGGTTTCCTCGATTTAGGGAGCGTAGGATTAGGTAGGAAGGAATGGGCGCTGATTTCCACTACGGTTTCCGAATGTCTCGCCAAGTAGGCCTCCCCTCTGTTCCCGTCCTTAGCCTCCCTGTCTCCTAGTCGGTTGAACGAGCTGCAGCTGCCGCTACCCTGCCTTCCTGCCCACCGTGGGAACTTTGGAAGGTTCTTCTAGGGACGGTGTCACTGGGAACGATCGCTTTTTGGGAATGAGGCTGCTACTGGAAGGATGCTTCTGGGAGTGGTGCGTCTGAGGACGGGGCCATCTGGGAACGGTGTATCTGCTGGTGCAGCTGGTGTGAAGGCGAAGCTTGGAACGCACATACCCGTTAGAAGGCGCCGCGTTATCAAACTGGACGTCAACGTTGATGGTTCTGCATGAGTATGTTTTGCAGAATGAGTGGTGGTGGAGAGAGCGGAGGGCGGGTGGTGGTGGGGAGGATGGGGAGGAGAGAACCAGGGGGAGCAGAGAGAAGAGGCGAATGCGATGGACGCTACAGGAGGGGAGGAGGGCCAGCGGAGTGGAAAAGGAAAAGAAGATGGGGAGGGCGAGCAGGACGGTGAGGCGACTGACAAGGACAAGGGTGAATGCGGTGGGTATGACTTGAACTTCTTGCTGCCAGTAGAGGAGCTGCTTATATCGTGGCATGACATGGGCCAGCCAGGTTACTGCCTGGTTGCTGTGTGTGGGTGCAGCAGCAGCGGAGAAAGAGCAACTGAGTGCGGCCGATGCACTTGCAGCAGCAGCCAGGGCAGCTAGTGGTACAGAAGTTGCTACTAAGCCTGCGTCTTCAGTTGATGCCCGTTCGAAAAGGGATACTCAGGGGGCTGGGTCCTCGACTGGAGGGGAGGGCAGAGAGGAGAGTGACGAGGGTGGGGAACAAAGAGGGGGGTGTAGGGGTGGGTGCCAGCAGAAGTGGTTTTTTGGTTTCTATGAGCGCCTGTTATGCTGTGCTGGGAGCGAGGTGAGGAAGGGAGCAATGAGGAAGAGGATGCGAAGGATGAGGGGAGAGATGAGGGGAGGGATGAAGGGAGAGATGAGGGAAGACGGTGAGGGAAGCGGTACGGAGAAAGATGGAGGTGGAGATGGGGGGGTATGGGCCGTAAGGGTGGATTAGTGGCAAGGGAAAGAAAGGAGGCGTTGGTGCAGGCAAGCAGGCTTCGTCAGCAGGTGCAGCAGGTATCTCAGGAGGACCAGGAGCAGCAGAAGGAAGAGGAGCAGCATCGGAGGAAAAAGCAGAGGAAGAGCAAGAAGCGAGAGGAAGAGGAGAAGCGGGAGGACAAAGTGCCAACCAAGGTGCAACGGCGTGTTGCATAACCTTGCTGCCACCCTCACCCCCCTCCCTTCACCACCACCACACCATCACCACACCCACGTCATCATCATCATCATCCCCCACATCACTCATCCCAACCATCAGCATCTGCTGGCACTACGCAGTCCACATGGACTTTGCAAGCGGTGGATCCTATTGGACGGCTCAAATCTCCTCTTCCAACGTGTCTCTTACCAGGCCTTGGCCTGCTGCCCCCATGCCACATCCGGCCACCCTCCCCTGCTGCACCTGCTGCTATCTGCTGCTGATCCGCCCGCATTGCTGCTCTGCAATCTGCGATTCTCTTGGGGGAGATTTCATTGTTCAGGAAAAGGTGGTCATCTATACAGGAAAAGGAGGATAAGGAGGCGAGGGAAGCAAGCCAGAAGCAGAAGCGAGAGGAAGAGCAGAAGGAGGATGGAAGCGCAAAAGCGAGAGGCAGAGCAGAAGCAGGAGGAAGAGAAGAAGCGAGAGGGGAGAGCAAAAGCGGGAGGAAGAGCAGAAGCGGGAGGAAGAGGAGCAGCTGGAGGAAGAGGATGAGATAGATAAAGAGCTGGAACAGAAGCTGCAGAAGCTGCGGCAAGAGCAGCGAGAGCAGCGAGAGCAGCAGCGACAGCAGGAGGATCTGTGGATGCCGTTAATTGGAGGACAGCTGGTCCTGGGACGGGCAGGAGCAGCAGTGGTTATGGCAGGTTGGCAGCTGCTGAGGCTGCTGGTTGGATTCACACCAAAAAAGGGCTTGCAGGAGAAGAGAGTGAGGTGTCTCTTCCATTGCTTCTGCTACGGGCTAGTGCTGCTGCTGCCGCCGCCACTGCTGCTGCTGCTGCTGCCAGGAGCCATCTGTCTGCTGAAGGTCATGCTCATCACCGCCAGCACTCCAGGCAAGCAAGTCTGCTTCCTCTCCAGCCAAACACATCACAGGGAAGGGCCAAGTTGTGAGGCACTCGCAGGCCTGGGGATGCTGCTGCTGCATGCAACCCCGTCCGCCCCCCTTGTCTCCACACTCCTCTCCCTGCCTGCTGACCAATTCGGCGGATTGCCTTGCTCTGTGCTCCGGCCATGGGCGCTGAGGCATCCTCTTAGAATATGGCAGTTTTTGCAAACTTTTGGGAAGAAAAGGCGATCTGAGGAGCAGCAAGGGACGCTTTCAGTGCCAGGGGGAATGCCTACTTTCAGCAATGGAGAGGGCAGGAATGAAAGTGATTTGAGGTGTACCCTGTTGAGCTTGCGACCATTTGTTGACAGCATGGTGCAGACTGTCAGTGAGAGAGGGGGAGGGACAACGTCCTACAGAGGCCTCTCAGAGTGTATCACTGAGTTGCTGTCAAGCTGAATGTACAGTTGAGTCGTTACAAAGCTATTTGAATGCACTTATTAGGTAAGATGCAGTACTTGTGTGAGGCCAGAAGTGCTGGCACTTGTTGATTTAGTGAAGTAAGCATGATAAATTTCTAACCTACTACATACCTATTGAGATTGCCACCAATTAACGATAATACAGTACTGATTATCCGGGGATCTCCTCGCATGATGAACAAGATTACTTATTGCATCCATACTATACGACCATACGTATTGAGATTGGCAACCGTTTTCGTATTTGTACAGCAAGAGTGCTATCAGCACTTTCAAAATTGAAATGTGAAATTTCCTTTGCCCGCGAAATAAATGGCTCCATTCCATTCACACGTCAAACATCCGTGTTCAGATCGACGGCTGTCCGGACTCTCCCATCGAGCTAACATGGCACGTCCGGCCCTCAAACCAACCTCATCAAAATCCTCCGCGCATCGGCTCGCTCAAACGCGCTTCGAGATGTCGGCACCCAATCTGCAACATTTCTCCCGCCAGAAGAACCCACCCCACCCAAGAAATCCCACTTCCCCTCCCCTCTTCCCATCTCTCTCAAGCCCCCTCGAATTCCTCGGGGAAACACAGCTCCGAAAGGTAAGGGCTGCTTTGGCTCAGCTCGGAGCACTCTACTTTTTCACCACACACCCGCCGTCACAGCCCACCCCGCCTTACGAACCCACGCTTGTGCTTCCGCAAGTGTCGCAGCCGACGTCACTGGCTGCCGACGTTGTCGGTTGCTCAGCATCGTGACACGCACTTGATAGCCACGACTCGACGAAACTGTATGGAAATTTGTCGGCTCGCGTAGCAAGTCGAATGGTCAACACATTCCATAAGTCGTCCTTTCAGCCAGCGGCCATTTATGTGCGATAGACCTAGTTGTTCGTGGTTCCAGACATTGATCAGTGATCGCGATTTTCTATAGATTCCTTGATTAACAGAAGGAAGTCGAGCCACGATTCAGTTCGCCATCTTTACCCACAACGTTTCACACGTAATTCACATGCTCTTCTTCTCTGTTCACAGTTCTACAGCTGACAAAGGACGCTCGCGTTCTCCACTACTACAGCCCAGCGCTAGCCATGCGTTTTCCACTTTAGCATAAGCACTCGGAGCCATATCTAGAAGCACTTGCTAATACGCCGGAGTGCAGATCGCAGCTGGTTGGACGAAGCCCTTTAGTTGCCCACGTGGCAATGGCTGCTGAGTCATTTCATCTGCTTCTGTGGGCCGTACCTTTGCTGCTGCTTGCGTCGATACCAGCCGCGCGATTAGAGGAGACAGCAATCCGGCCCGTTTTTCTTCTGATGACGGTGCGCCCTCTACGAGTCTAGACATTCGCAGCGTTCCCTTTGTTGTATGCCACACGTCTTGAATCGCCATTCATAGCCTTCCTTTCTTCTGACGATATGTCACTGACATACTAGACTGCCTACTTAAGTGTTAACCGCGGCCGCCACGTCCGACAAACCGAAAAAGGGGATTCATCGCGGCCGTAGGGCAAGCTGAATTCGCAGCGATAAGGCGGCGAGTTCGCCTCCCTGAAGCGCAAGCTGAAAACGACCACCACAGCCAGGCGAACCCTACGGCTCCCTTCCGTTTCTCCAATCCTTTATCCGTTATTAATCTCCCCTCATCCTCTTTCAGGGGTGCTCTGGCAGCAACACTGCCGCGAACCGGCGCCCTTCCCTTTCCTTCATCTTTGCTCCCTTACTGATTATTTCTCTCTACGCCTCTCCCATCAGGCGCGCTCTAGCAGCTACTCGGCCGCGAATTCGCCATCCTGAGGCGCCCTATGCCCCTAAATCATCCATTCCAATCAACTAATTTTTATCCACGCATCCCCCATCAGGCGCGCTCTGGCAGCTGCACGGCCGTGAATTTGCCATCCTGAGGCGCCGGCTTACCAAGACGACAGCCGCCCAGGCAACCCCGTCGCCGTCCCCGGTCCCCCCCAAGAAGAAGAAACCGACACCGAGCCCGGTCAAGGGTAGCAGCGGTAACAGTAAAAACTCGGGCGCCAGCGGCGGCAGCAGCAAGACTACACCTCAAACGAAAAGCCCGCCGAAAGTAAACAGTAAGAATTCGGCCGGCGGCGGTGGTGGCGGCAGCGGCAGCAGCAAGGGCACGTCTCAACCCGAAAAGCCAGACGAAGGCCAAGAACCCGCCCGAGGTCCAGGAAGGATCGACGAAAAAGAGCCCGAATAAGAGCCCTAAAAAGAGCCCCGTGAAAAGCCCCAACAAGAGCCCCGATAAGAGCCCCAACAAGAGCCCCGATAAGAGCCCCAACAAGAGCTCCGATAAGAGCCCCAACAAGAGCCCCGATAAGAGCCCTAACAAGAGCCCGACTAAGAGTCCAAACAAAAGCCCCGATAAGAGCCCCGATAAGAGCCCCAATAAGAGCCCCAATAAGAGCCCCAGCAACAGCCCCGATAAGAGCCCGAGCAAGAGTCCGAGCAAGCCCAAGTCTCCACCAAAGCCGGCAGAGACCAATGTGACTAAGAGCCCGAAGAGTCCTAAGAAGCCCAAGTCGCCTAAGAGCCCGAAGCCACCGAAGCCCCCGACTCCACCTCCTGCCCCTCCGGCAAGTAAGTAATTCGTCTCTGTTGAAGTAGGCCAATTAGCTGCTTCCTCCATTTCATTCCGGCTGTCTCGAGAAAATCCACGCTAGATTTCTTCGTGTCGCTTGCCATCCTCAACCCATCTTTCCCTTGCCTTTCCCGTCTGTGATGAGGAATTGCAGTTAAGTGCGAGGCGCACAAGAACGAGCAACTAGTCATCATGGATGGAAATCTCTTTTTCACGAATCAGCTGGACAAGTGCGAGTCGTCTTGTATCGGGGACGCGAATTGCCTGTACTACACATTTTCGGGTCTGAGCTGCCAGCTGTTCACAGCGAACATGACCATCAAGCCAACCAAGACGTGCTTCTCGAGGAAGTGCCAGTGGGCCAAGTGCAGGGACCCTTCAGATGGTGATTACGAGTCATAGGGGTGAACACTCTGCTAGCTCTTTAATAATCTATGCTGTAGGGAGCACCTACATGAAATAATACTGACATGCCTTGATCATGACTGGGTGAACATGACCATCAAGCCACAAGACGTAGCTTTAGAGGAAGTGCCCGTGGGCCCAGGGACCCTGCAAGTGATGATTCTTCGTTATAAGAGAGAATGTGGAGTGGGTGGGGTGAGAGAGAGTGGAGGACGTCGGGTAGACATACTGAGCCCATTAATAATGTATACTGTAGGGAGTACCTACATTTGATAAACTGTAAGGAAAATTCCTTTTCCTTACTACGCATCCCTGCTCAACGCGTACATCACTGTAGCACCACAGTCAGCACCGTTACCACTCGCAACCCTCGCATCGACAATCCGCCCGCCACCTTCGCACGAGGGCTGTCGATATCCCTGGGGACAGAACTTGAGGCCCTCAGCTGCTGAAATTCTGACCCTGATTTTCAGGGAGGTGACCAAATTTTTGCCCTTAACGGTCACGGGTGCAGGCCGAAATGTAAACTTGAAATCTGGGCTCCAAAGTGTTGTGTACTTAACTAACCTAAACAACATCCTAGACAAGAAAATCACATACTTTTCACTGCTAACTACTCCAGTCAACCTGTATGTCACAACTTCCAACTACAACTACAGCTGCACTACCTACTGCATTTCTACTCATCTACTGACTTCGACACTAGACACACACTAGATTGGATAGAAATCGAGTGAAACATCCTCCACCTAGCGCTCTATTGTGCAACTTTTATGGAAAGGGGGGGGGGTTAGGGGAGGGGGGTGTCCGCAAGATTTTGGGGGGGGGGGGGGGGGGGGGGGGGTTTGCGGAACCGAAAGTATATCTCAGATTCAGGGGACGGCCCAGATTGAGCACTTAACGCGTCCGGGGAAGGGCTAAACGATGCCCTTAACTGGCACGGGTGCCAGTCGAATCAAACCCTTAAATGGTCGAGCTGCGCCGAACATAACCCGGAATGTTCAGGGCATTAAGGGCAAATGCCCTTGAATCGACAGCCCTGCTTCGCACATCGCACCCCGACCTCACGGCTCGGCGGGTAACCCGCGTTCCGGGCCTCCGCTTCGACACTTTTTCCCAACCTCAGTCCCAGGCCCGTCGCGCGCAGGGTTCTCGTTATCAGACCAATTTGGTCTGATGGGCTGCGTTTAAGACTGGCTTTTTTGTATTCATCTTAATCCTAAGATTTTGTGTTTGTTCTCATCTGATCAGCAAGATTTGACTTTTAAGTTCGTATGATTTTTTCAGACGTGTAGAATTATTTATCTGAGGATACAGATAGCGAGTTCGGTTTCGTCTGAAACCGACAACTTGACCCCACTAGGCCATAGGCCCAGTTGACCAGAGGACAGAACCACCACAGGTACAGCCGATTGCTGCCTTGTAACTGCACGCGCATTCATTACGCGTGTCTTATACAGCTCTGTAACTGCCTTGTGCAGCCTCGCTGGTATCTGCGGCATATGCTGCCAGGCGTTTGTCGTTTGGGTGGCTGTCGGCGGCGACGCCAGCCACAGCCACGACAACGCGCTGTCCTGTTGTGCCAGCGCATTTGCTTTTCGTAGAGGGCGCGCAACACATCACTGTGGTCGTAGTGCCCCCCGCTCCCAACACGCACCGCCTTTCGGTTCTTAGTGCAGTGCACGGTGATGGGGTTTCATGCAGCTGGGTCTGGCTTGAAAACAAGCCTGTTTCTCCTGCTCGTCCTCAGCTCTCTCCCTGCCGAGCATGGATCGTTTCCCTCCCAGCGTCTGATTTCCCAGCGTGACGCTTCCCAGCGTCTAGGCTATGGCCGTCCCCGCCGGCGGACCGTGCGATGGGGAGCCCGTGCTTTCCGCCCTAGACTTCCTAACGCGGGGCAAGCAGATCGCTTCTGCTGCCCCTCCGATTGCGTCGACCTCTGCTGCGATACCTTTGCCCAACTCGGAAAATGGCGATCAACACGTGCCAGCAACGACTACCCCAACAACGCTGTTATCCCCCCCGCTCCCTGACGAATGTGCAAATAAGAGCATCCCTCCAGTGTCGGTCGCTACAACCTCTCGCAGTGCTAACCCCGTCTTGCCTGACAGATCTATGAAGAAGCGGTATAAACAGCGTGTTCTCACCGTCTGCCGTCCGGGCGGTCCGACTCAGCCAGCACCGTCAGTTCTTCCGCGCCCCGCGGAACCAGAACCTGAACTTGCGAGTGAAGACTTCGAAGACCCGAAGGGCAAGCAACTGTCGGTTGAGGTGCTTCAGTTGAAGTGCAAGCAGCAGTGGCAGCGGTATTTTCCTTGGCTCCTCATCTCCGAAAACAAGGCAGGCCGCCCGTGCATGCGCTGCAGCGTCTGCATGGTCTTCGGTGACCCGAACTAAAAATACGGGCGTAACGGCTAGGCCAATGGCTCCAGTCTCTGCGCAACATGTTCAAGCGGAAGCCAGATGACCCTGACACTATACCAGGTGCGTTAAATGCCGGGAATGAGCTGTATGTTTAGCGTTGTCTCCACATGCTTGTCTAAACACTACATCACCAATTCCAATGTTCCCATGTGCACCCCAACCGCAGGCATCAACTGGGCGAGAGCGCAGCGAGAGCTTGTCACCTTCTCTACCATCCTGGCCACACACCAAGAGGATGTCGGGTGTGCGGACAGCCTGAAACTCATGCTGTCCTCCCCCGACTGGGCGACGTGCTACCCGAACCTCGTCCACCTGTGGATGGCTGTCGTCGTGCTTCCGCTCAGTACCGTCGAGTGCGAGCGCGGCTTCTCACGACAAAACATCATCAAGAGTTGGCTTCGCGGGAACCTGTGCGACGCGAAGCTGGGAGAGCTGATGGCTGTGTCGCTCCTAAACTATGACATGGAGTGGCCCGAGTTGCTGAGGAGGTGGAATGCTTCCAAGAAGCGAAGGCCTGCTAACGATGTGCTGATGGCGTCCGGGGAGAGACAGAGCAAGCGTGCGAGGAAGAGATCGGCCGCAGCTGCAGCAGCAGCAGCTGCACTGGCAGCAGCAGAAGCAGCTGCTCGAGAAGCGGCCCTGGTAGCAGAAGCAGCAAGGATGGATGTTGAGTACCCGTGGCTTACCAGGAAAGAACGGACCACAGTTCCCGTGGGGAGTGAGGATGGTAGTAGTGATAGCAATGAGGACTACGGCTCTAGTGACTCTGACTAGGTCCTTAGCCACTGCCTAGGTTGTTTGATAGAATGAGTATAATTGCAGGTAGTGTTCTTGTAGGCTGACTTGGTTTTTTTTTTCGTCTAGTTTATCAGACTAGGAAAAATATTTCAGCTTATACTGCAGACCACAAAATTTTCGTCGTCAAAGCCTAAGACCGGGAAAATGTTTTTGAGGGTACTGTCAGACAGGCCCTAAACCTAGCGAGAACCCTGGTCGCGCGACAACCACAGTCCATTACCGTTACCACTGTAGTTTCGCTATATATTCTTCGCTCATGCCTTCGCTCATTGTACTCTTGCTTCGATAGTGCAATTCTCGTTCGTTCACTCAATTGCACTCGTAACATAAACAATTACATGACGTATTGTAGTGGATCTTAGAATCTTTATAATATTTCCCTGTCGTCTTATCAACATTCAGCAAACATGCCAATAAACTCTAGCAATGAGTGTATATGTATATATATGGTTGAATAATCACGATTTAGATAAGCCTGACATTGCATCTCTCAATTATGAATATGTACGACTTCAGTAATCGCACAGCTGGTTTGTATTTTGATAGTATACCGCGCCGCATCCTTCTGCTGAATGCAAGACATGTTCCGCACGCTACGTTCGAGCCGCCTTATCAGCATGTCAAGAGCACGACATTGACGACGTCGGTAACCCAGACGAGCCACAACTGCGAGACCGACGAAAACAGAAATTTCATGGTTCCTACGAATCACGCGGCACTTGGCAGTCGAAACGAGGAATTTCCACCATCCTTACTAGCAAAGAACCAAGTTCTTCGTAGCCAGGACATTGTCGCACCTCGCGACTATCACTAAGATAACGTGCTTCCTTATTGCAGTCTGACTTGGGCTGTCCGTGCATCCCGCCCGTACAATGCACTCCCGATTATTACCCGGCGAAGTCAATAACTGATCCACCATCCTCTGTCAACAGCATTATTTGCTGTCATTATTTACTGATTGCTGTTTTTTTGTCAACTATCGTTGACAATGCACTCTGTTGCATTGCGTAGACTTCATCCTAGGGTAGTAACAATCCCGCCCCGCATGTTACAGCTACAAGCAGTCCTCCTTCACGTTGTGCTTCTGCTCTCAGCTTCAACAACATTCACAACGGTCACTGAAGGCTCGTCCGTGTTCGAACAAACCGTAGCGTTTATCGAACGGTTACGCCCCTCGGGTGACGCACACGCACCGAGCACAGCAGCACCCTCTGTGCAGTCACCCTCCGTACAATCATCAGCCTCTGCCTCTCGATTCGGAACCGATCTCCACCGGAATATCTCGCGCTATCCCCCAGTGTGGCATGATTCTGCGAACTCACGCAGGCCTGCATGGGCGGGCGGCAGGAAGCGAGCACCGGCGCCGACGCTCGAGCCGGCATGGGAACGGTTCGGAGTGTGCTCGAGCAGTAAGGGTCCGATCCTCGTGACAATTACTCCACGCCAAATCGGAACGAAGTGGAAGGGATGGGGCACGTCACTCGCGTGGTGAGAATGTGTTGCCTTTGATTGTTCGCTTTTAATGATGTGATAATGCAACCTGTCTCAACCACCTGCAATCTTCGTCCCCGGTTTCCCCTCCCGCGCAACTAATCCCCCCCTCCCGTCTCCGCACCCGACCCCCAGGCTGGGCAACACTTACTATTCTTGTCCGCTCTAGATTCCTCACTTTCCCTATAAACCCCCCACCCGACACCCCACCCCTTCCTTCCCCTAACATTCCTCTCCCCCTCATCCGCTTTTCCCCCCACACGAGGCTGGGCAACTACATCGGCGGGTTCCCCCAGGCGGCAAGGGACCCTCTGTTTTCCCTTTACCTACCCCAACAACCTACCCTCCCACCCCCCCTTCCTCCTACTTTTCCCGCCCCCTCTCCTTCCGCCCCCCAGGCTGGGCAACTACATCGGCGGGTTCCCCCAGGCGGCGATGGACCCTCTGCTGGACCTCATGTTCCTCCCCTCGGGCCTCAACCTCAATATAGTGCGATTCAATATAGGCGGCGGCTCCGTCCCTCTATACAGCCCTCAGCTATACACTGATTCTTCCATGCGCTGGCGGGCCATGCCGGGGTACTGGCCGGCGCAGGCAGCGGGGTTCAACTGGACGGCGGATTCGAGGCAGCAGGCGGTGCTGCTGGGAGCCAAGGCCCGCGGGGTGAACGTGTTCGAGGCGTTTTCCAACAGCCCGCCCTGGTGGATGACCGCGAGTAAAGACGTTGCGGGTGGGAAGAAGGCGTTTCAGACGAACCTGCTGCGAAAGCATGAGGGGCGGTTTGCGAGGTACTTGGTGGAAGTGGTGGAAAGGTTTAGAACGGATCCGGCGTTGGGTAACATCGAGTTCGATACACTGGAGCCGTTTAACGAGGCGTTAGAGGGGTACTGGATAAAGGGGATGGGGCAGGAGGGGTGCAACTTCAACGTTTCCACAATGAGCCGGATAATTTCTAAAACTGTGCGACTGCTTCGGAAGAGAAATCTCAAGACGAAGATGGTGGGTTTGGACAGCTATCCTGGCTTCACGGCCGTCTGGTTACCACTGCTCCACGTGAAAGACGACCTGCATCGTATAAACGTTCACGGTTATACACTGCCGGTGACGAGGGAGGGGAATGGGAGTATTTCTGCGGTTGAGAAGGTCTACTCAAGAATGAAGGCGCTTGCAAAGTCGCTAGGGAAGGAAGTATGGGTGTCTGAATCTGGGCCGCTGAACAAGGCCGGGAGCTCGTACGATCTCTCGCTCTACATGATGCGGAATGTGATTGAATCGGTGAACGTTCTGGAAGCATCGGCGTATGTATACTGGCAAGTCTTCGACCCGAATGAATCGTGGTCGCTGTTTGGGTTGAATTGGTCTTATCCTCCTGGATATTCGGGCACGATAGAACCTGCTACTAAGCTGAAACGGTTTTGGATGTTCAAGCAGTTAACGGACCTTGCACGGCCAGGAAGTCGACCTTTAGCAGTGCCCCGGGAATGTCGGCATACTGTAGCTGCGTTTTACAACAAGGGAAGACGAACGGTAAGTGTGTTTATAGTGAATCAACGAGTCAAGGGTAGAGGGGTGAATGTGGAATTATCAAGGTTCAAGCTGAATGTGGGGGGGGTGACCCAGGCTATGATTAGGAGGACAACATATGGAGAGGACAATGCCGAAAGAAGTGTAGATACTCAGGGTTCAGCCAAGGTGTTTGTCTTGATTGAGGGCCAGAGCTTTCTGTCAGTCACATTTACACATGTGCAGATGACAAGATGGAGATCTGAGAAGATGGTAATGTGAGCTATTGTTTGTTGCAGTTGCTGCTCGTGTACTAACTCACTTGTACATTTGTCGTCCCGTTACAAGATGTGCGAACTACCTATATTGTTTGTCGCGAGGCGAAAAATGGCCCTGTCAATGGGACATTGGAGATTGTGACAACGTGTACCAGATGGCCAGCCAGTCAGCGAGCAGCATTATCCATGACAGCGCAACCCGAATATATATCAGCGCTCCACGCCAGATTTTCTAGGCGAGTACGGGACTTACAGCTCAGCAGCTAGGCATGTTCAAGGCACAACACCGCACAAAAAGATGATCCGTTACGAGAACAAGGTTAGCCGTCATCCCTAGACAGTGCACTTTATTCTTACGCCAGGTTCAACCTTCACTCGATAATGCTGGTCAGAGCTGAAGACATTTGTTGATGCCTGGAGTTACCTGATCCTTGATTCTGGTCTAGATCCTAGTCTGATTCTAGTTGTCAGTGGAGCTCTCGATGCCTACCTTCTGGTCTGGTTTTCTTCGTATCCCTCTTTGAAGAATCTCATTTCTGTAATCGCTTCTGCCGCATTATTTTAGCCTAGGCCTGGCGGGTCAGGTCTCGGACGTGTAGGGGATATATCCCCGCGCTTGGGAACGCCAAGAATATTGATCGTGCCAGTCACCGAACGTTAACTACTACTGGTCGATCGTAGCAAAATCGTTAAGCACTTTTGAAAGTTCTCAGTGGTTAAATCACCGTCGCCTGACGATTAACTCGCTGGTACAACAGTTTTCCTAGTCCTGCGTTACTTGAGTCGACTCAGAAGTTTTCTTAGTCCCGTGTTTACCAGGACCAGGCGTCGTCGCAATGCAGTCACTCACAGCAGCACCGCATCCCACCACACTCCACCGCGGCTCCCGCCTCCTACACCCCGTTCCCCACACTCCCCTCCCCATTTGTCCCTCCTCCCCATGGACCCCCCCTTCTCCTCTCTGGTCGCCTCTTAAGCTGCCACGTGTCCTATCCCCAAGCCTCCGAGCCTCGTCTCGAGGCGCATCAAATGTTACCGTTAGAGCGTCCGGCGACGATGGCGGAAGCGGAAGCGGCGCGTCGTCGTCTACCCGCCGGTCCGCGGCGCGGCGGTCGCGACAATACTCTTCTTCCGTGCAAGAAGCGTCAGGAGGGCGACGCGGGAGTGCTTCTAACGCGGGATTTGAAATCGACACGGAGTTAATAGGCATCGGCGCGATGCTATTGGCTGTCGGCGCGGGAATCTGGGGAGTTTCGCGGTTCCTAGCGCGTGGCGGGATCGGCAGTAGCGGGGATAGTGACGAGGAAGAGGAGGGTGCGGGTAGCAAGAGTTCGTCGTTTAGTGCGGGTGACGACAAGGAGAAGCAGCGCAAGTGGCGGCAGCAGTCGATGGCGAAAGTTAAGGAGTTAGCGCAGCAGCTTCGGTCATTCAGGACCGTCGATCTCAGCGGTACGTTCAAGAGCCGTTGATCTTGCTTCATCGCTACCCCGCATTTCGTCGCACCTGCATTTCGTCGTATCTGCATTTCTCGTGGTAAAGAAAACGAGGCTGTTTGCTGGGCACGGAGGTTTAGTTAGGAAGCCAAGCAGGAGTGTCGACTGGCAAGTAATTATTTTGCTTTTGCCCTCCCCTCCCCCATCCCCCCACCCTTTCCCCCTCCCCCCCTTACCCTCCGCCACTGCAGGCAAGAGTCTGGGCGACGAGGGGTTCAAATATCTCGCAGAATCTCTCGCCTTCAACAATGTGAGCTAATCTTAACTATTCATATCCCCGTTATAAAGCGATCTGCTTTTTTTTTGGAATCTTGAATAGCTAGAGCTTCTGCCAGTGACCCTGTTCAGTGTGAGCCTGTAGCCTGAGAACCAGACACAAACAAGAGGGAGACGAAACTGGCAGCCATTATGGCGCAGAACGGGACCTGGGGCCAAGTCGTTCAGCCGTTTCGGGGAATTCCAAACTTCTGAGTCGACTTAGAAGTCACCTTGAACTAGACATAGCCAAGCGGGAGATGAGACTGTCAGCCATTATGGCGCAGAACTGGGGTCCGGGGCCAAGGCGTTCAGTCCTCTCGGAGAAGAACACCATAGGGGACGAGAGCCAAGGTGATGACAGACAGGCATCAGCAGAACCAACCGGGGCGTGCAAACCCCTCTCTCTCAGCTCAACCCACTGCACCCCCCTTCCCCTTCCCCTTCCCCTTCCCCTTCCCCTTCCCCTTCCCCTTCCCCTTCCCCTTCCTCGTCCCCTTCCCCTTCCCCTTCCCCTTCCCCTTCCCCTTCCCCTTCCCCTTCCCCTTCCCTTCCCTTCCCCCTGCCTCTTCCCCTTCCCTATCCCGCTGTTCCTTCCCCTCCTCTCCCCCCACCCCGACAGAGTGTAGAAAGCGTCGATTTCTCCAACAATGGGATTGGCCCAGAGGGGGTTAAGGCTTTGATGGAAGCCCTGGCGACGAACGCGTATCTCAAGACGCTCAACCTCTCCCCCCTCTCCACCCCCTCCTGAACAGAGTGTTGAGAGTGTGGACTTTTCCAACAATGGGATTGGCCACGAGGGAGTGAAGGCCCTCACAGAAGCTCTAGCCACGAGGGAGTGAAGGCCCTCACAGAAGCTCTAGCCACGAGGGAGTGAAGGCCCTCACAGAAGCTCTAGCCACGAGGGAGTGAAGGCCCTCACAGAAGCTCTAGCCACGAGGGAGTGAAGGCCCTCACAGAAGCTCTAGCCACGAGGGAGTGAAGGCCCTCACAGAAGCTCTAGCCACGAGGGAGTGAAGGCCCTCACAGAAGCTCTAGCCACGAGGGAGTGAAGGCCCTCACAGAAGCTCTAGCCACGAGGGAGTGAAGGCCCTCACAGAAGCTCTAGCCACGAACGCGTATCTCAAGACGCTCAACCTCTCAGGGAACACCATCGGGGACGAGGGCGCTAAAGTCCTCGCGGGTATCATGGAGCAGAACCAAGGCGAATGCAGACGCCTCTCTCACCCCACTGCCCTCCCCTTTTCCCAACCCCACGCTAACCCCCACAGAGTGTTGAAAGCGTTGACTTTTCCAACAATGGGATCGGTCCGGAGGGGGTCAAAGCCCTGACCGAAGCCCTGGCGACGAATGCCTATCTCAAGACGCTCAACCTCTCGGGGAACACCATTGGGGACGAGGGAGCTAAGGTTCTAGCTGGTATCATGGAGCAGAACCGCGGCGTGCAGACGCTGCAGCTGAGCAGCAACGGGATCGGGGATGAGGGCATGCGAGCATTAGCGGAGATGGTGAAGAAGAACGAAGCGATCGTTTGTTTGGAGATGAACAACAACGGCATCGAGTACGAGGTATGATGTGGGGTTGGGATGGGTACAGGGCGGTATGAACGCTGTGATGCGTGGGCACTGGGTGATGCAGCTGAGCAGCAATGGGATCGGGGACGAGCGAGGGCATGCGGGCGTTAGCGGAGATGGTGAAGAAGAATGAAGCGATCGTTTGTTTGGAGATGAACAACAACGGCATCGAGTACGAGGTATGATGTGGGGTTGGGATGGGTACAGGGCGGTATGAACGCTGTGATGCGTGGGCACTGGGTGCTGCAGCTGAGCAGCAATGGGATCGGGGACGAGCGAGGGCATGCGGGCGTTAGCGGAGATGGTGAAGAAGAATGAAGCGATCGTTTGTTTGGAGATGAACAACAACGGGATTGAGTACGTACGAGGTATGGTTGTTGAACCTGAATCGGACAGGTGTGTCTAGGACTGTGCGTTAGCAGAGCTGGTGAAGAAGAACGAAGCGATTGTGTGCCTTGAGATGAACAACAACGGGATTGGGTACAAGGTATGAGGGGGTGGAGGGGTGTGGTGGTGGTAGCGGGATTGGGAGAAAGGGGGATGGGAGGCATGGGGGATCCGGGGAGATGTCTTCACGTCCGTCCCTCTCTTTCCCTCTCACCTCCCTCACACCTTTCCCTCCTCGCCCTCACGCCACGCTAGGCTGTGCTACTCTCGCTGTTGCTCTCTCTCACCCCGCGTCTGTGATTCCTTGATTTTCTCAACCTGTTTTGCTCTTGCCTGACGCCTTGCACTCTTCCCTCCTTCACACCTTCCCTTTCCCTCCTCGCCCTCACGCCACGCTAGGCTGTGCTGCTCTCGCTGTTGCTCTCACTCACCCCGCGTCTGTGATTCCTTGATTTTCTCACCCTGTTTTGCTCTTGCCTGACGCCTTGCACTCTTCTCCCTCCTTCACACCTTCCCTTTCCCTCCTCGCCCTCACGCCACGCTAGGCTGTGCTGCTCTCGCTGTTGCTCTCTCTCACCCCGCGTCTGTGATTCCTTGATTTTCTCAACCTGTTTTGCTCTTGCCTGACGCCTTGCACTCTTCCCTCCTTCACACCTTCCCTTTCCCTCCTCGCCCTCACGCCACGCTAGGCTGTGCTGCTCTCGCTGTTGCTCTCTCTCACCCCGCGTCTGTGATTCCTTGATTTTCTCAACCTGTTTTGCTCTTGCCTGACGCCTTGCACTCTTCCCTCCTTCACACCTTCCCTTTCCCTCCTCGCCCTCACGCCACGCTAGGCTGTGCTGCTCTCGCTGTTGCTCTCTCTCACCCCGCGTCTGTGATACCTTGATTTTCTCAACCTGTTTTGGTCTTGCCTGACGCCTTGCACTCTTCCCTCCTTCACACCTTCCCTTCCCCTCCTCGCCCTCACGCCACACCAGGGCTGTGCTGCTCTCGCCGATGCCCTCACCAGCACCAAGTCTCTGCGCTCACTGCACCTCAAGTGAGTGTGAGGGGGCTGTGAGTGTGGGGTGCATGAGTGTGGGGGGGCTGTGAGTGTGCGGTGCATGAGTGGGGGGGGCCTGTGAGTGTGAGCTTCATGTATGACTGGTGGGCTGTGTGTGTGTGGTGTGTGTGTCGCCCTCACGCCACGCCAGGGCTGTGCTGCTCTCGCCGATGCCCTCACCAGCACCAAGTCTCTGCGTTCACTGCACCTCAAGTGAGTGTATGGAGCCTGGGAGTGTGTGAGTGCGTGAGTGTGGGGGGGCTGTGAGTGTGAGCTTCAAGTATGACTGGTGGGCTGTGTGTGTGTAGTGTGTGTGTCGCCCTCACGCCACACCAGGGCTGTGTTGCTCTCGCCGATGCCCTCACCAGCACCAAGTCTCTGCGTTCGCCGCACCTCAAGTGAGTGTGTGGGGCCTGGGAGTGTGTGAGTGCGTGAGTGCTTTCCCCTCGCCCACACACCACACCACACCACACCACACCAGGGCTGTGCTGCTCTCGCTGATGCTCTGACCGACCAGCACCAAGTCCCTGCGCTCGCTGCACCTCAAGTGAGTGTATGGGGCGTGTGAGTGTTTTGTTGTGTGAGGCTGAGTGTGTGTAGGTGCCAAGTCTCTGCGATCAGTACACCTCAAGTGAGTGGGGGAGTGAGCGGGTGAGTGTGAGTTGGTGAGTGTGCGTGGGTGCGTGTGTGTGGGTGAGTGTGCGTGGGTGAGTGTGCGTGGGTGAGTGTGCGTGGGTGAGTGTGCGTGGGTGAGTGTGCGTGGGTGAGTGTGCGTGGGTGAGTGTGTGCGGGTGAGTGTGCGTGGGTAAGTGTGCATGGGTGAGTGGGAGTGGATGAGTGGGAGTGGTTGTGAGTGTGAGTGGGTGAGTGTGCATGGGTGAGTGTGAGTGGGTGTGAGTGTGCACGGGTTAGTGTGTATGGGCGAGTGTGTCTGTCTGTCTCGTTTTTCTCTGCTTCCCTGCTTTGGCAACTATGCAGGCTCGCTGGGTGGGTGCGCCGGCCTTGGCCAAGGGACTTCAGGAGAAAACCCTATTACGCATCTCCAATCTTTCCTTTCTCCCCTTCTCTATTCCCTCGTTTTCCCTCCTTGTCCCCATGGTCACGAGCCTACAGTGGCAACTATGCAGGCACGCTGGGCGCATCTGCCGAGTTGACTTTTGAGTCGACTCAAAAGTCAACCCTACAGTGGCAACTATGCAGGCACGCTGGGCGCATCTGCCGAGTTGACTTTTGAGTCGACTCAAAAGTCAACCCTACAGTGGCAACTATGCAGGCACGCTGGGCGCATCTGCCGAGTTGACTTTTGAGTCGACTCAAAAGTCAACCCTACAGTGGCAACTATGCAGGCACGCTGGGCGCATCTGCCTGCCTTGGCCAAGGGTCTTCAGGGGAACAAACTTGCTTTCCCCCCTGACCCGCGTTCTCCCTTTGTCTCATTTCTCTCTGCTTCCCTACAGTGGCAACTACGCAGGCACGCTGGGTGTGTCTGCATCGGCCAAGGGGCTAAGGGAATCAAGCCTGCTCTCGCTTTTCCCTCTCGTCTCTCCCCTGTCTCGATTTTTATTACCCCGTGTTTCCTTCTCACCGCTCCCCAATCGCCAGTGGCAACTATGCAAACATGCTGGGAGCATCTGCCCTGGCCAAGGGCCTTCAGGAGAACAAACTCGCTCTCCCCTCTCTGACCCGCGTTCTCCCTCTGGCTCATTTCTCTCTGCTTCCCTACAGTGGCAACTATGCAGGCACGCTGGGAGCATCTGCCCTGGCCAAGGGCCTTCAGGAGAACAAGTCACTCAGGGTGAGCAGTCGTGATCCTTAGGTTGGTTCTCTGGGAGGGAGGTAAATATCAAACAGACTCAAAAGTCAACAAGTCACTCAGGGTGAGCAGTCGTGATCCTTAGGTTGGTTCTCTGGGAGGGAGGTAAATATCAAGCAGACTCAAAAGTCAACAAGTCTCTCAGGGTGAGCAGTCGACTCTGCTGATCCCAAGCCTCCTTAGGTTGGTTCTCCAGGAGGGAGATAAATATCAAACTTTAAATCGATTCTGGTTGCACAGGGTTTTCCTATAGGCTCCAGGGCCTTCTATGTATGTCACTCCACTGCTCCGCTCCTCCCTCTTCTCCTCCTCCCTCCTCCCCTCCTCCTCCCGCCCTCCTCCCCTCCTCCCCTTCCCACCCCCCACCCCACCCCCCCAGGAGTTGCATTTCAATGGGAATGGAGTGGGGGATGAGGGAGCGCGAGTGCTGGCATCGGGGCTACTGGCACGCAAGGGCAAGCTGGTGACCATCGACCTCAGCAACAACTCCCCCCCTCCCCCTTCCCCCTTTCCTCCCAACCATCTCTACAATAGGAGTTGCTTTTAAACGGCAACGGGGTGGGGGATGAGGGAGCGCGAGTGCTGGCATCGGGGCTGCTGACCCACAAAGGCAAGCTGGTGACCATCGACCTCAGCAACAACAGCATGGGCTCCAAGGGGGCGCCTCACACCACTCGCCTCCCCTCCTCCCCTCTTCCTCCTTTTCCTCCCTTCCCTCTGCACAGGAGTTGCATTTCAACGGGAATGGAGTGGGGGATGAGGGAGCTCGAGTGCTGGCGTCTGGCCTTCTCGCGCACAAGGGCAAGCTGGTCACCATCGACCTCAGCAACAACAGCATGGGCTCCAAGGGGGCGGCTCATATCGCTGAAGTGATCAAGAAAAGCCGCAGCCTGCAGTGGCTGAACCTCTATATGAACGACTTTGGAGACAAGGTGGGTTGTGGTGGTTATGGTGGGTAGATGAAACGAGGTGTGCTGACTGCTCAGTCAACTGACGATCTGCTCCTCACCTCACTTGGACGTTCATATGCTGATCTGTTGCACCGTTTGGGAGTGGCGTGCGTCTGAGATAACCACGTGTATGAAGATTGGTTTTGAGACGCAGACGCTGATCAGCCTCTCATATGCGTTCATATGCTGATCAGCCTCTCATATGCGTTCATATGTTGATCAGCCTCTCATATGCGTTCATATGCTGATCAGCCTCTCATATGCGTTCATATGCTGATCAGCCTCTCATATGCGTTCATATGCTGATCAGCCTCTCATATGCGTTCATATGCTGATCAGCCTCTCATATGCGTTCATATGCTGATCAGCCTCTCATATGCGTTCATATGCTGATCAGCCTCTCATATGCGTTCATATGCTGATCAGCCTCTCATATGCGTTCATATGCTGATCAGCCTCTCATATGCGTTCATATGCTGATCAGCCTCTCATATGCGTTCATATGCTGATCAGCCTCTCATATGCGTTCATATGCTGATCTCAGACGCAGGCCGCTCTGAAAACCAATCTTCATACACGTTTGGGAGTGGCCTACGTCTGAGATAACTTATTCCTGGTTCTTGTTCAATTGGAGCATATTTTTCATACATTGTGGCTCCTGTCTTATTTCTGCCGTTGTTGCAGGGAGCGGAGAGAATAGCAGATGCTCTCAAGAGGAACAAGTCGATTGCTACTATTGACCTGGTGAGTGTGATTGAGTGAGTGTGTGAGTGTGTGTGTGAGTGTGTGAGTGTGTGAGTGTGAGTGAGTGTGAGTGAGTGTGAGTGAGTGAGTGAGAGAGTGAGCTGAGTGTGTGAATGAGTGAGATTGTGAGTGAGTGAGTGTGAGTGAGCGAGTGAGTGAATGACTGTACATGCATGTGTGTGTGCTGCGCATGTTGTTCGCGTGGTCCACTTTTATTGCAGCTACTGAAGCCAATGCTTCCGTCCTCTCTTCCTACCTACCTCCCTTCCTTCCCTTCAGGGCGGCAACAACATTCACGCAGAGGGCATTGCGGCCATCTGTGACGCACTCAGTCATCTACCACAACTTCTCTTTCCCCCTCTCCCTGCCCACCCATGCTCCCTCCCGTTTCCCTCCTTACTCCAGGGAGGCAACAACATTCATGCGGAGGGCATTGCGGCCATCTGTGACGCACTCAAAGAGAACTCCACCATCACCACTGTGAGTAAACACCACTTCAGATCTGCGAACGTGGCTTTGAGTCCACTTGGATGGGCGTGGCTTTGAGTCGACTTGGATGGGCGTGGCTTTGAGTCCACTTGGATGGGCATGGCTTTGAGTCGACTTGGATGGGCGTGGCTTTGAGTCCACTTGGATGGGCGTGGCTTTGAGTCCACTTGGATGGGCGTGGCTTTGAGTCCACTTGGATGGGCGTGGCTTTGAGTCCACTTGGATGGGCGTGGCTTTGAGTCCACTTGGATGGGCGTGGCTTTGAGTCCACTTGGATGGGCGTGGCTTTGAGTCCACTTGGATGGGCGTGGCTTTGAGTCCACTTGGATGGGCGTGGCTTTGAGTCCACTTGGATGGGCGTGGCTTTGAGTCGACTTGGATGGGCGTGGCTTTGAGTCCACTTGGATGGGCGTGGCTTTGAGTCCACTTGGATGGGCGTGGCTTTGAGTCGACTTGGATGGGCGTGGCTTTGAGTCCACTTGGATGGGCGTGGCTTTGAGTCCACTTGGATGGGCGTGGCTTTGAGTCCACTTGGATGGGCGTGGCTTTGAGTCCACTTGGATGGGCGTGGCTTTGAGTCCACTTGGATGGGCGTGGCTTTGAGTCCACTTGGATGGGCGTGGCTTTGAGTCCACTTGGATGGGCGTGGCTTTGAGTCCACTTGGATGGGCGTGGCTTTGAGTCCACTTGGATGGGCGTGGCTTTGAGTCCACTTGGATGGGCGTGGCTTTGAGTCCACTTGGATGGGCGTGGCTTTGAGTCCGACTTGGATGGGCGTGGCTTTGAGTCCACTTGGATGGGCGTGGCTTTGAGTCCACTTGGATGGGCGTGGCTTTGAGTCCACTTGGATGGGCGTGGCTTTGAGTCCACTTGGATGGGCGTGGCTTGAGTCCACTTGGATGGGCGTGGCTTTGAGTCCACTTGGATGGGCGTGGCTTTGAGTCCACTTGGATGGGCGTGGCTTTGAGTCCACTTGGATGGGCGTGGCTTTGAGTCCACTTGGATGGGCGTGGCTTTGAGTCCACTGGATGGGCGTGGCTTTGAGTCCACTTGGATGGGCGTGGCTTTGAGTCCACTTGGATGGGCGTGGCTTTGAGTCCACTTGGATGGGCGTGGCTTTGAGTCCACTTGGATGGGCGTGGCTTTGAGTCCACTTGGATGGGCGTGGCTTTGAGTCCACTTGGATGGGCGTGGCTTGAGTCGACTTGGATGGGCGTGGCTTTGAGTCCACTTGGATGGGCGTGGCTTTGAGTCGACTTGGATGGGCGTGGCTTTGAGTCCACTTGGATGGGCGTGGCTTTGAGTCCACTTGGATGGGCGTGGCTTTGAGTCCACTTGGATGGGCGTGGCTTTGAGTCCACTTGGATGGGCGTGGCTTTGAGTCGACTTGGATGGGCGTGGCTTTGAGTCCACTTGGATGGGCGTGGCTTTGAGTCGACTTGGATGGGCGTGGCTTTGAGTCCACTTGGATGGGCGTGGCTTTGAGTCCACTTGGATGGGCGTGGCTTTGAGTCCACTTGGATGGGCGTGGCTTTGAGTCCACTTGGATGGGCGTGGCTTTGAGTCCACTTGGATGGGCGTGGCTTTGAGTCCACTTGGATGGGCGTGGCTTTGAGTCCACTTGGATGGGCGTGGCTTTGAGTCCACTTGGATGGGCGTGGCTTTGAGTCCACTTGGATGGGCGTGGCTTTGAGTCCACTTGGATGGGCGTGGCTTTGAGTCCACTTGAATGGGCGTGGCTTTGAGTCCACTTGAATGGGCGTGGCTTTGAGTCCACTTGGATGGGCGTGGCTTTGAGTCCACTTGAATGGGCGTGGCTTTGAGTCCACTTGAATGGGCGTGGCTTTGAGTCCACTTGAATGGGCGTGGCTTTGAGTCCACTTGAATGGGCGTGGCTTTGAGTCCACTTGAACGGCAGTCGCGGCCATCTGTGACGCACTCAAGGAGAACTCCACCATCACCACTGTGAGTGAACAACCACCATCACCACTGTGAGTGAACAACCACTTGAGAAAAGAAGACTTCTGGATTGACTAGAGAAGCATTGCTTTGCTGCCATCTTTGACGCACTCAAAGAGAACTCCACCGTCACCACTGTGAGTAAAAAACCACTTCAGATAAAAAAGGGGGATGGAAGAGTCACTGATTTGCTCTAGGGGATGAATAATTCGTTGATTAAGTAAGTCTGACCTTACTTGTGCGGTCACTCCTTTCCTCACTCCGTTTCTCACTCCTTCCCAGCTTAAATGTTGAAAACATTCGTCAAGAATCCATTGCCTTATCTGTCCTGTCCCTTGCTCCCGTTCTGCCACAGCTTGAGTTGGGGTACAACCCCATTGGTCCAGAGGGCGCCAAAGCACTGGCAGACACGGTCAAGTTCCATGGGAACGTGGAGACGCTGCGACTGGGGTGGTGCAAGGTGAGGTTGAGGGATGGAGAGCGGTTATTGGTGGTGCAGGGGTGCTGCTAGTTATTGCTGTGGCTGTGCACCTTAGTCAAGGCACTGGCACACACGGTGAAGTTCCATGGGAACGTGGAGACGCTGCGACTGGGGTGGTGCAAGGTGAGGTTGAGGGATGGAGAGCGGTTATTGGTGGTGCAGGGGTGCTGCTAGTTATTGCTGTGGCTGTGCACCTTAGTCAAGGCACTGGCACACACGGTGAAGTTCCATGGGAACGTGGAGACGCTGCGACTGGGGTGGTGCAAGGTGAGGTTGAGGGATGGAGAGCGGTTATTGGTGGTGCAGGGGTGCTGCTAGTTATTGCTGTGGCTGTGCACCTTAGTCAAGGCACTGGCACACACGGTGAAGTTCCATGGGAACGTGGAGACGCTGCGACTGGGGTGGTGCAAGGTGAGGTTGAGGGATGGAGAGCGGTTATTGGTGGTGCAGGGGTGCTGCTAGTTATTGCTGTGGCTGTGCACCTTAGTCAAGGCACTGGCACACACGGTGAAGTTCCATGGGAACGTGGAGACGCTGCGACTGGGGTGGTGCAAGGTGAGGTTGAGGGATGGAGAGCGGTTATTGGTGGTGCAGGGGTGCTGCTAGTTATTGCTGTGGCTGTGCACCTTAGTCAAGGCACTGGCACACATGGTGAAGTTCCATGGGAACGTGGAGACGCTGCGACTGGGGTGGTGCAAGGTGAGGTTGAGGGATGGAGAGCGGTTATTGGTGGTGCAGGGGTGCTGCTAGTTATTGCTGTGGCTGTGCACCTTAGTCAAGGCACTGGCACACACGGTGAAGTTCCATGGGAACGTGGAGACGCTGCGACTGGGGTGGTGCAAGGTGAGGTTGAGGGATGGAGAGCGGTTATTGGTGGTGCAGGGGTGCTGCTAGTTATTGCTGTGGCTGTGCACCTTAGTCAAGGCACTGGCACACACGGTGAAGTTCCATGGGAACGTGGAGACGCTGCGACTGGGGTGGTGCAAGGTGAGGTTGAGGGATGGAGAGCGGTTATTGGTGGTGCAGGGGTGCTGCTAGTTATTGCTGTGGCTGTGCACCTTAGTCAAGGCACTGGCACACACGGTGAAGTTCCATGGGAACGTGGAGACGCTGCGACTGGGGTGGTGCAAGGTGAGGTTGAGGGATGGAGAGCGGTTATTGGTGGTGCAGGGGTGCTGCTAGTTATTGCTGTGGCTGTGCACCTTAGTCAAGGCACTGGCACACATGGTGAAGTTCCATGGGAACGTGGAGACGCTGCGACTGGGGTGGTGCAAGGTGAGGTTGAGGGATGGAGAGCGGTTATTGGTGGTGCAGGGGTGCTGCTAGTTATTGCTGTGGCTGTGCACCTTAGTCAAGGCACTGGCACACACGGTCAAGTTTCATGGGAACGTGGAGACGCTGCGACTGGGGTGGTGCAAGGTGAGGTTGAGGGATAGAGAGCGGTTATTGGTGGTGCAGGGGTGCTGCTAGTTATTGCTGTGGCTGTGCACCTTAGTCAAGGCACTGGCACACACGGTGAAGTTCCATGGGAACGTGGAGACGCTGCGACTGGGGTGGTGCAAGGTGAGTGGAGGGATGGGATTATGGTGTTTATGGGCAGGTACTGCTTAGTTTGTGCACCCTGGTTGAGTCACTGACTGGCAGACACGGTGAAGTTACATGGGAACGTGGAGACGTTACGACTGGGGTGGTGCAAGGTGAGGGTGGTGCAAGGTGAGGGTGATTCATGGGGGCATGATGCCAGGGGGGAAAGATTGGGAAGTATGCTTGGTGTGTGCTCTCAAGTCTAGGTGTATTGATGCTCAATCTTGAGGCGCCTCAAAACTAGACTTGGTGTGTGCTCTCAAGTCTAGGTGTACTAATGCTCAGTCCACACCCATCCCCCTTTCCTCTTTCCATTCCAACCTCCTCTCTCCCAAACCCCCCACTCCCCCCCTTTACTTCTCCCATCCCCCTCAGATCGGAGTGAAGGGAGCAGAGTACATGGCCGATGCGCTTAAATACAACAGCACCATCACCCCCCTACTCTTACCCATCTGCTCCCACGCTCTCATCCGCCCTCCTCCCATCTGTCCAGATCGGAGTGAAGGGAGCAGAGTACATGGCAGATGCTCTCAAGTACAACAGCACCATCAACACTCTTGACCTGAGGGCCAACGCGCTGGGTGATGAGGTGAGCTCGGAGGGATGATGGCAGTTCGTGCAGCAACTAGGAGGGGGGTATGAGCAGGCAGGTGCACTGTTGATAAAGTACAACAGCACCATCAACACGCTTGACCTGAGGGCCAACGCGCTGGGGGACGAGGTGAGCTGCATCTCACTCAATAGTATCTTTGAGTGAGAGGTGAGCTGTAGGTATTCACACTCAAACGCAACAGCACCATCAACACTCTTGACCTGAGGGCCAACGCGCTGGGAGGTGAGGTGAGTTAAGGTGAGGTGAGGGGAGGTGCGCTCTTAGCCTGATGTCAATCCACACACACACCAACCGGGGGGTTGTTGGTCTGTTTGGTCTTCACACTCACACACAACAGCACCATCAACACTCTTGACCTCAGTGCCAACGCTCTGGGTGATGAGGTGAGCTGCTCTGTTGCCAATCCATGCATCAACCACGGGGGATAGTGATCAGGCAATTGCACTCGCATTCTCCCCCCCTGCTCCCTTGCACCTCATGTCTCTCTATGCTTCTCCATCCTTTGCCCTTTCTTTCCCATCAGGGCGCGGCCATTCTGGCTCTGAGTCTGCGTGTGGTCAACAAGCAGCTCATTCTAAACACCGATGGGCCCGTTTCTTTCCTGAACAATTACCCCCTCTCCTTCCCTTTCCGTCCCATCAGGCCGCGGCCATTCTGGCCCTGAGTCTGCGGTTGGTGAACGAGCAGCTCTCCTCATTGGACCTGGCCTTCCCTGTCCCCCTTGCATGCACTCCTTAAGGCGTGGCGCTGCCATTGGAAATGCTCTCGATGCTCATCTGCCTTCCCCCCTCCTCCCTTTCATCAGGCCGCGGCCATTCTGGCTCCGAGTCTCCGCGTGGTGAACGAGCAGCTCTCCTCGCTGGACCTGGGCTTTAACGAGATCCGCGACCGCGGGCTCTCAACCTTGAGCTTTCTTTCCCCCCCCCCCCCCCTGTCTTCCAACAGGGAGCGGCCATCCTGGCTTTAAGTCTGCGCGTGGTCAACGAGCAGCTCTCCTCGTTGGACCTGGGCTTTAATGAGATCCGCGACCGTGGGGCATACGCCCTGGCAGAGGCGCTCAAAGCGAATGGGGAGGCGGCAGTCGAGACACTTAACCTCTCCAGCAACTACATCACCAAATACGGCCAGGTGAAGTCTTTCAACCATTTTTTTCTTTAGGAATCTTATAATGATTACCATTATGCATATTATCGTTACGTTTATTGTGATCATTATTATTATTGTTGTTGTTTCCATTATTATTTATGTTATCATTATTATTCCTCTGATCTGGCAACTGCCCTGCCCGTCCATCCATTGGGGGAACCTGGTGCGTGGGATGAATGACGGAAGGTTAACATCTTATGGTGATGGCACTTGCAGGGCTGCTGCTATCCACCCACTCACTTCCTCTTCCCATTCCCTCTGTGCCTCTCCCCCAGGTTGCTCTGAGCGAGGCCAAGGACCTGGTGAGTGAGATGACAGATACTTACCAGTGGTTCATTCCCTCTTTCCTCCGGTTTCCCTCTGTGCGTGTATCAAATCCCTCCCAGGTTGCTTTGAGCGAGGCCAAGGACCTGGTGAGTGAGATGAATGACGGCAAGGAGGTCAACATCTACTGGTAACTGGTCATGCCACTGATGACAATGGACCGATACCATTGCACTCGTGCCAATGGACTGATGCCAATGCACCGATTCCACTCAGCAAGCCTTTGTTATCCATACTCATTTCCTCTGATGATGCCCCTGTTTCAATAGCACGGATGGCAAGGATGACACTGGGCAGTATAGGTCAGCAGGGTGACGTGCGGAAACCGCATGATCGTTGTCATAGTGTGATGTGAACATGGGCTCAGCGTTTCTGATGGTGCTGTTAGAATATGAGACGAGAAGTGGCTGTTTGTGATTCTACAGCAGTTTATGCCAACACCGTTTGGGAATAATAGATTCTGAAACCAGCATGGATGGGATTGTATTGTACCTGTGATGGTACGCACACCGATGCAGTGTTAAGTGAGATGGGTAGGAAGGGAGGGAGGTTGTGAGAAAAACAGCTCTTATGGTTTGCTTGTAGAAGCGAGGAGAAATGAAGGTCATGTGTGGTTGGAGTGCTGGTGGTTGAAAGGCTGTGCTACATGCAATATAATAGTGATACAAACAAGTCAAAACATCCATCTTGTTCTCTGTACATTAGTGAATGTGACTGAAACGAAGGTCTGGCCCTTAACCAGAACTGGCACCTTTGGCTTACCCTGTATAGCCACAGTGCTTTCTGCATTGTCCTCTGCATATGTGGTTCTCCTGATGAGAGCCTGAGTCGCCCCCCCCACATTCAGCTTGTACCTAGATAACCTCACGTTCACCACCTTATCCCTCACCCGCTGATTCACTATAAACACACTCACCGTCCGCTTCTCCTTACTGTAGAACGCAGCTACCGTGTGCCGACACGCTATCGGCACCATTAACGGCCGGCTCCCTGGCCTTACCAGATCCGTAAACTGCTTAAACATCCAGTACCTTTTAAGCATGGTGGGAGGGTCTACTGTGCCTGTATATCCTGGCGGATAATACCAATTCAGACCGATCAGTGACCATGTGTCGTTGGGGTCGAAAATCTGCCAGTAGACATATGCGGAGATCCCGAGAATGTTCACCATCTCAATCACGTTCCTCATCATGTAGAGCGAGAGATCGTACGCGTTGCCGAATTTGTTCAACGGCCCAGATTCCGACACCCAGATCTCCTTCCCCAGCGATTTTGCGAGCACCTTCATCGCGACGTAACGAGCGGCGTAGGTTTTCTCGGCGACAGAAGCAGTCATGTTTACCACCTGCTGTATCGGCAGCGTGTAACCATGAACGTTTACCCTTTGTAAAAAAATCTTCCCCACGAGCAGTGGGAACCACAGAGCTGTCATGCCCGGAAAGCTGTCCACACCGGCGAGTTTCGTCTTGAGTTTCTTCTCCCGAAGCAGTCGCAGAGTTTTGAAAATGATACGGGTCATCTCGACCACGTTGAAATTACACCCCTCCTGACCCATCCCCTTTAGCCAGTGCCCCTCTAACGCCTCGTTAAACGGCTCCAGTGTATCAAACTCGATATTCCCTAAAGCCGGATCCGTTTTAAACCTTTCCACCACCTCCACCAAATACTTAGCAAACCGTCCCTCGAATTTCGGCAGCAGGTTCGTCTGAAACGCCTTCTTCCCGCCCGCAACGTCTTTACTCGCGGTCATCCACCAGGGCGGGCTGTTGGAAAACGCCTCGAACACGTTCACCCCGCGGGCCTTGGCTCCCAGCAGCACCGCCTGCTGCCTCGAATCCGCCGTCCAGTTGAACCCCGCTGCCTGCGCCGGCCAGTACCCCGGCATGGCCCGCCAGCGCAGCAGCGCGTCCGAGTGAAGCTGCGGGCTGTACTGCGGGAGCGAGCCGCCGCCTATATTGAATCGCACTATATTGAGGTTGAGGCCCGAGGGGAGGAACATGAGGTCCAGCAGAGGGTCCATCGCCACCTGGGGGAACCCGCCGATGTAGTTGCCCAGCCTGGGGGGCGGAAGGAGCGGAGGGGAAAGTGGGGGGAATGGGGAGGTGGGGGGAAGCGGGATGTGGGGCAAGGGGGAGATGGGGAGAAGGCGGGGTGCGGTGAGAGAGGAGAAATTCAAAAGAAGCGTGTGGCCGGGAGTCAGATACGCTCGGGCGATTCGATAGAACCACGTATTCTTAGTACAATCAACTCACCATGCGAGCGATGTGCCCCATCCCTTCCACTTGGTCCCGATCTGCCGTGGAGTGATCGTCACGTGGAACGGTCCCTTACCGCCCGAGCACACTCCGAACCGCTCCCATGCCGGCTCGAGCGTCGGAGCTGGCGGTCTGGCCTTCGGTCCTGCCGCCGTTGCAGACGTATTCACTAACGAAGTGTCGTGCCACGCAATGGGGTATCGCGTGAAGTTCCATGGTTCGGGCTCAGGTGAAGGGGCAGGGGTAGGTGACTGTACAGGGGGTGATTGTACGGGAGGTGACTGTACCGGAGGTGACTGTGGAGGAGGTGACTGTATAGGAGGTGACTGTATAGGTGACTGTACGGGAGGTATGGCTGCGTCCTGTGCGTTTGCCTGGTTCGAGGGGAGTAGGCGCTGAAAAAACGCGACGACTTGGTCGATTATCGACGACCCTTCAGCGACTGTAGCTGAAGCTCCTATTAAGAGCAGTAGCAGTAAGATGGCTGCCTGGCACGATCTTGACGGGGAAGTTACTATTCGAGGATGAAGGTGACGGGAAAAACCAGAGGGCATTGTCAACGACGCCGTGACGAAAACCAGTAACCCTTTTCGCAGAGATCACAGAGAATTGCGGGTCACGCGCTGGACGACGTAATTAGGTAAGGTCTAGAGTCGGGCCAGCAGCATTTTCTTTGGAGAGGTAACGGGAGCGGGATGCACGGACGGATGTAGTCAGGTTGAAGCAGTATGGATAAATGGTGCGACTGAGACACCACGCGCTGAATGCTGTGCGTTGCTTCGAACCAACTCGCCGGGGCAAACAATGTGGCAAAGAGGATTTGGTAGCGGATTATCAATCAGCCGAGGTACTGGTTTGTCAGTTGATTGTTGACCATGCTCGCTTCAGCCGAGGAACGGACCTTGGGATTGTCCACAGCCCCCGTCCAGCAGCAGCGGGACATAGGAGTCGAGGGGAGGACGCGGAGGTGCTGAGCTGACGGAATGTCGAGAAGAGATGGAGGGTAGCTAGCGAAACGAGGTGCGGGGAACCCATGTTGGCCGCGCACCGTTCCCCCGTTGAAGTCGTTTGTGCAATGCGCGTATGTGGCGCGCTGGAAAATCCCACCGACGGCGGAAATGTAGTAAAGGAATATTTTCCCCCATCTGAGGCCAGGAGGGGGAACGTGGAATACACACCCCTCTTGAGGAGGTTGTGGGGAGCGGACTTGACACACCCGCGCACGGCAATGTCACAGGAAGAGGAAGAAACGGGCATTTCGAGGCGAGGCGTGATGAGGCTGGTTTGGAACCATGATGGCTGGGTGATTGGCCGAAGAGCCGAACCTGTCTTCAGTAAACCTAGATTCGACGGTTCGATGGACGGTCATTCGAGATCTTACGTCTCGTTGCATCCCAAATTCTGGTGAAGTACGCTTTCGCGGTCCCAAACTAGTCCTGCGAAGCTTTGTTCCCCTCATATCAAGCGCCTTGGTCTGTATCCTTTGGCTCAGAAAGTTGGTACGGAACCGAAGGTCTCTGGGCTGGAATTAAGAAGTCGGTGGGACTGTCACCCCAACACCACGAAGGTGAACGTGTCAAGTCACACTGCTAGCCGTCACCAGCAGCAGTCAAATGGCGTGCCTTCCTGCAGTGGACCGCGAGGACCCTCGCGAACGTGAGTTACACAATATACACATCCACGTTGGCATAAGGAGTTCGTTCGACTTCGGTTCAGAAACGTGTGTTGACAGACCGTGATGGTTTGGTAGATTGCAGAATGACCAAAACCCGAATCGCCACCACCACGGTATGATGCTGTCGCCGACAAACCTGACTCAGCTGGCTTGTCACTAGGCGTCCAAGCGTCCATCTACCGTCAGTGCGACTTTATCCATTATGATACAGACGACAAGCTGGGTCGTCACCGTCATCCTCCACTGAAAGCAACCATGTACAAACATCCTGTCTTGCTATCTGTTACGAGTGAGATTGAGTGAATGAACGAGAATTGCACTATCTAAGCAAGAGTACAATGAGCGAAGGCATGAGCGAAGAATATATAGCGAAACTACAGTGGTAACGGTAATGGACTGTGGTTGTCGCGCGATGGGCCTGGGACTGTGGTTGGGAAAAAATGTCGAAGCGTAGGCCCGGAGCGCCAGAGCTGACGTTTCATTTTAAGGGCATGTTCCTACAGCCTCTTATCAGGCGAAGCTCTTGTCAAATTCGCGTAGCATCGCACTCAAACACACGTAATGACATTCGATCGCACTGAAACGCATTGAACCGCACAAGTCTGACCAGAGGTCGCCTGATAAGGGGCCGTAGGAACATGCCCTAAGCCTCCCTGATTCCCAGGAAAATTCCCCGCCTGTATTATGGGTGTATATTTTCCGCAGGTAGGCTACTCTGATTGCTCAGTGTCGAAAAGTAGTTAACTCTGATTGCTCAGGGTCGAGAACTGAACATCAATGTAGTAACGCGCACTGTATTTAACGGGGACAAAAGTTTCACCCCGCAGGATTCCATCACAACGCGACATCATTTCGTGCACACCTCGTGCGCTTTACTTTCTGATCCGTTACTTTGATCAAATTAGTATTTCTCCATACGTTTTAGCGCGGGGAAGAAACGAGCAGTTTCGGTCCACCAAGCAGTTCGGTACCAAAGATGTGCCAAGATTTCCTATTCGTTGATTACTCGCGATTCGCCAACTTCATTGTGCGAAACGCAAAAAATGTGTTGATAACTTCACGCACACGTAATTGCGACAATACGACCGACATTTTCGACTTTTGTAACACTAACGTACGTAGAGTGTATTCACCTGTCAGACATGTTGCCGCGCGATGCTTACGCTGTTGCTGTACTACGACCAATCCGAAGGCGAGGTTATCG